ATAAGCTAAAATGCCAAGAAACTATCTAGCCAGATGGATGAATGAAGTTCGTATCAAAATCAATGATCGTTCATGAATTATAGTCTCGCCACTGAATGATAATTGAAGCTCACAATTGGAAAATGGTTGTATCATCGATTGTAGAACAGTACTGTAGTTGACCTTGTTTAAATTGGCACCCTACTAATGAGTAATACATGAGTCAAGGAACTAACGTTCATAGCTTTACACGGATTTAACGAAGAAGGTGTAATCCAATTAGATTTCTGAAAAATTGATTTTAATCACTACTGATAAAGAGGGAGTGATATTGATTACTAAACTTAAATAACCAGGTAAGTACAAAAAACACCGAGAAAACTGTCCACTTGGTTTTTAAAAATAGTAGTACGACAAAGTTAAATAACTAAACTGCCAATAAATTTACTGTTGTTTAGGTGACTAATATTATAAAGTCAGGTATCGAATACAAGTGTACAAACTTATTAATGATTCAAATAGTAGAGAGCTCAAGCATTACAATGATATGATGACAAATAGCAGAGAAATGATTTAACGTAATAAAAATTACACAGTAAATTAGTAAATTCATTGTGAAACCTGTAAGCAACATACAGGTGCTTCGGCCGAGTATAAAACTGCTTAGCAGAGTAGTTATTTAGTTCAAGGAGTGACACTTGTCTCAATTCCGATACATTTGAATTTTCCATAACCCTATACATATAATTATCATCTGCTCACTAGCTTCAAAATGCAACTCGTGGAGTTTTAGTGAGAAGCCGTGACCAGTGGAGTTGAGACAGTTATCCACTACAATCAGTGGATGAAGAGTGAGCAATATAACGGAATGACTGAAGTTAACAACGTTGGATACAAACTTAGGGGTCTGGAAGGTAAACGTTCGACACGCGACAACGAAGGGTGAATTCTATTAGTCATAAATTCTTTCTAGAATTCCATGAATCCATGTTAAGAGAAGTTCCAAATTAAAATGAAACAGCTATTCAGTACATCCTGGTTTACAATACTTATTTAATTAACTCCAATCTGTTAATGTTAACTACAGATAAAGTAAATCATTGTAAGTTATTCTGACAATTAATAGATCTTTAGTTTTAGTACTGAGATTCATAAGAAGTGTAAAAATTGAAGAACTAAAATAGAACTGTGATGTGAACTACTTATATCCACATAAGTAGTATATAACGATAGTCAGTAATAGATTGTATTTCAGTAGGAGATCGAGAAAGAAAGAACAGGAACGGAATGCGATTGGCATGAAAATACAGGAACAATGAAATCTCAGACGATGGACTGATATTTGCAAAAGAAACAGTCGATTTTGAGACAATGGATTGATATTTTACAAATGAAGTGTTTACTGTATGGGTCTCAGATTTTAGTGAGATATTCTGTAATTTCGTGTTCAGATACATTCAGTTGTTCCCTTTCGTGCTTACTACAGAGCCAGACGTAAAAAAGTTTCCTTTCATACTTAATTAACTAATATCGTGACTTCATTAATTTTTCTACATGCGTTAATTATTGAACTGTAGACAAGCCTTAATAGCAGATGTTCCATTTTCCTAATGGGATTGACTTATTACACAATAAAGAAAAGAAATTACAAATATTTAGTGAAGTGAGTACATAGGAACAATTTGAGAAAGAACTTAACAAGACAATTTGGTGAATGGTGGTTTGTGGAGATTGTAGCGATTTTAATTGTTGAATTCATAAGTTAATGTAAGCTAGATCAAAGGCCATGGGTTCGAGTTCCATATGCGAGATCGTGGATGCGAACTGATGATAAGTCCCATACTAGAACGAAACAATCATCCAGTGCTTCCAGGTTTTCAATGGTGATCTAGTTTATATTGGCTCATGAATTTAACTATTAGAATAGATTTTCACTATTGATATCATTTACAGAAACTGTGCATTAGAATTTACAGTGATTTAATGAACCCTATTCGTCTATTCAAGAGATAGAATAAGAGCATATCATAGAATTTTTGGATACTTCATATACTACTAGTAGGTTGCGTATTGCTTGAAGAAAGATAAGCAAAAGTATTGTAGACGTCACACTTCTAGATCCATTGCACAATCACTCTTGTCGCACATGTAGTATCCAGTATAATTTTAATCCAAATTTTCGATAGACTATTCATTTATTAAACCAGTATAAATTCTGCTTTACAGTATCAGTAAGCGATATCCTATAACATAATTTATTTATTTAAGCACAAACATTTGTACAAGGAGGCACCAAATAGATAAACGCCACATAAATCATTCGATATATGTGACGGATGGGATACTCTACGGGTGCCCAAACCGAGCCGGGTGGTTTTCTTAGAGGACCACGCCCGGAGCCTTCGACCTAAAGGTCTGATCCACAAGGCAGTGGAGCAACGTAAGGAGATGCAGTCCCATTGTAGCCGGTGACCAACAATAGGTTCATGCGGCATTTGTTCCTTTAACATCCTGGAACTAATGTCCATCATTGATTTAAAATCAGTTTTCTAACTCTTCTAGGTGGACTCTCTGTGTCCACTGATCCGGCTAAAGCGTCGGACATTCGCTTCCCGTCCTCTCAGTTTCGTAAACAACACCGCCGCGATAAGACAGTGAGCAGGACTTCCCTGGAAGTGGCCATGTGAGAGCATTTTGAGAGCGAGGTCTGACTCTCCCAACTCTCGACCGTCCTAGGGCATTTGGAGGCCCTCTTTCGTTAGATTACAGCAACATTCAGAATGACTTGAACTAATATTTATAACTTACTAACCAAAACTCATGTACGTTCAAGGCAAAACTATTGTTAAAGTAGGTATCTTGTCGGTTGTTCGATATCTATTTACTAGAACGATGTTTAGAAGCTAAATTAATTAATATTTGTCAAACACAACGCTTACTTAACAGGAAATACTCTGTAACGATATCATACTTGTATATATTTACCTTAGCATCTAACAGCTTGTGAACAAGACTGGTTTTGTGAAATTTCATATCATATAGTCTTTTGAATATGATATACGTTCAGCCCTCATTAACAGAGTGTACTCTGGATCCTCCCTAAATATGAGGAACCTAGGATTTTCAAGTCTTTAAAGGAGTAAGTTACAATTCTAGATCATTATCTTAATATCAAAAGGTTCATAATTCCAACTAATGAATAGATAGTTTTATACTTTGCAGATCAACAAACTTAACTACAAGTAATAACCACTAACAGAATACATCCATTATACTATAGGAGAAAAAAAATAATTTATTTCATTTTTAAAAGAACAAATGAGCATTATTTAAACAAATTATGCAAAAATTCAAAGTTATAATCAATGAAAGAACAATGAACATCAACAGAGGAAAACACAATTGAATTTGATCCACATAAACCTGATCTATCTATCTGTTTATCTATTTATGTATGTATAGTATGAAGAAGACATGTAGTCGACAATGTCAAGAATAAACAATGAAATAAACTGTAGAAGGAAACATTAATTAAAGTCAAGAAGTCCATCTATATATATATATATATATATATATATATATATATATATAGTGTCGATAAATAGTAGTCAAATTAAGTAGTACATACACAGGCACCAAGGAAAACTATCTATGACATTTTCTTAGCCATAATTTATGAATACAACATATATATATCTATTAATGTAATATTACTAGAATAATCAGTTGTTTTAAAACATCTTTCTGTATATAAACCAATGACCATAAAGAGAAAAAGAAGAAGAAGAAGGAACAGAATTGAAAACCATACTCCATTCATTTATAACAACTCATCCATTTACACACAATATCGATAGAGAAGAAAGATTAGAACTTATGAAGAAAACAAACAAAAAGCCACACAAAGAAAAATCTCGTTCTCCTCCTCATTATCATTATTATTATTAAAAATACAAACAATGAATGCATTTAAAATCAAATCTCTATATGCCTGTATAAAGTAATAGAAGGAAATAGAGTGGAATGTAGATAGTAAACAGTAAATGTATTAAATTTTAAAGACAAGAAACAAAATAGAACCTGTGAAAAAAAACATTGTTAACTACCTTTTTTGTTTTGTTTCATTCTTTTATCGAATGTTGTCAACATTGATAGAAGTCAATATAACAGTCAACACATTTAGTGTCATATGTAGTTTTGCCAATGTATTTATGTGTGTGTGTATGTGCGTGTATGTGTACATTCCCAAGGTTTTTTTCCCCATTTTAATAACATATAAACATCATTAGTGTAAAAATTCAGGAAACAGAAATAATCGACTTCACAAATACAGGGATTTTAATAATAATAATAATAATAATAATAATAATAATAATAATAATAATAAAATAATAATAATAATAATACTCGTTTCATGTAAACAAAAAATTGACAATTATTGTTACCCAAATTAGCAAAACTAAAATGTCACTAAGGATGACAAAATAAGAAAAAAAAACGAGAGGAAATGAGCAAAGAAGAAAAATCATCGATAAGTATGAGAAGAGACAAGTAAGTAAGCAGATAGGTAGATAGGTAGGTAGGTGAGTAAACAGTAGTAGTATATATTTCTTTGTTTTATCACGAGGAAACGATGCAGTTTATCTTTTTTTAAATAAATAAATAAATAAACAATTTAATAATATGGTATATTTGTAAAAAATAAAACAAGCGTTTTTCGGGGGGGGGTTGGTGGAGAGAAATAGTAACATTAACAAAACAAACATGTTAATAATTTTAATAAGAAGAGGGGTTATCGACTATAACAATAAATTAACTATGCTAAATGGTATTCTTCTGTAATTGTAAATGTATTGCACAAATACATGATCATACTTTATGAATAATGAATGACTATGACAAATACATTTAAATTTGAAGGCATCAGAAAACCATACAGACAGCATTATTGCCCTCAAACGTATCATTGAGTTGTAGATGGATGATATGGTGAGAGTATGAATAGAAAATGAGAATAATAACTATGAACAATACTGAAGAAGAAGAAGAAAATGAATAAATAAATAATGAATATATATTTATCATATAATATCATGTGTTAAATACATACTTCCCATTGTAATACAGCTGTATCTTTGCCCCCAATAGATATTAATCTAGATCCATCATATAAAAATGTTACATTTGTCACATGACTTGAATGACCATTATAAGCACGAAATTCAGCCTGAAATAGAAAATGATAAAAGAGAATTGATGTAATGATGAAGGTGATTAATATGAACTTGTTTATGGTTGTTATTATTATTATTTCAATTAAATCTCTGCATTCACCTAATCTGAAACTGTATGATTTATTTAGTAGTTAAACAAATGAAAATTTGCAACAAATTCACAACTACTTCAATGTGTGAATAATCAAAGTACCCAAGTATATCGATGGTGGGTAGGGTTAAATATCCCTATCGAAATTCTCTTATTTGGCCATGTGTATATAGTCACTCATAAGGAAGTTCTACTTACTGCTTTTTCGTAGCATCATTGTTGTTTACGAAAATGAGAAAACGGAAAGTGAATGGACAACGCTTAAACAGGGTTTAAGGGGAACACAGTATACACTTAGAAGAGTTGGGAAACACTGTTTACCAACCAATACTAATGGTGCATATGAGCTCTGAGATTCTGGGGAAATAAAGGAAGTATGAAGTTATTCTTGATCACCGGATACCGTAGGATAACACAATCAAGAATCGATTAAATAACCAGTATCAAAACAATCCTTTCATATAATTTCAAGTGAAAAGTTAATATTTATGCAGTCACACATATCATAAATAAATAAATTAATAGGCAAAATTATTTGATCAAGTAATTACACAACTTGATATTGAGTAGTTATTAAAGTGCAGAACTAAACGACAAAACATCCAATTACTTCACAGCCTGGAAGTTTAAGTAATAGTAGTACCACTAGCTCTCAAAGTAAAAAAACGGTTACTTGAACTACAATGGTATACATGACTTGTTACTCGTTACTGTGTTAAAAAAATATTATTATCATTATTACCTTGATTTTTACCTACACAACCAATGATAAGATTTGAGACAGATTCTTTCCAGTTTAGGTGTAAATCATTTTGATCTATAATGCTAACTATATTTTGAATATACAAAAGTTGGAAATACGAAATGATGGGCTTCAGTTCATTCAGTCAATCTTGAGCAACAAACGATCTGACACATACAATAGTTCAAGTTCTGACACCATAAAACACACCAAGAGGAATGCCAAAGAAGTAGAAACAGTAACAGTATCAGTGTTAATAAACAAGGTTAAAGACCAACAATTTTTATTCGAGAAGAAAGAATGAATTCGTAGAATAGGAAACTTTAGAAATCACGACCTACAAAAATACATGGTGAATGCATTAAGACAAACTAGAACACTCAAATGACCTGATACGGTCAAGGGTGAGGAAAATTCGCTTTCTCTCTCGAAACACTCTCACATTGCCACCTGTATACAGTCACAAAGAGTATTACTGTTGTTTACGAAATTCAGAGGACGAAAAGCGAAAGTTCGACGCCTTAACCAGGTTGGTGGATATGGAGGATCCACCTAGTGGAGTTGGAAAACCCTCATTCCAAATCAATGGTTAATATGAGAGAAAAATTGACCTATGAACCCATCGTTAGTCACTGGTTACCATGGTACTGCATCTCCTAACGTTGTTACACTGCCTTATGGATTAGACCTCTAGGTGAAAGGTCCGTGGAGTGGTCTCCTAAGAAAATCACCTGCTTTGATTTGGGCACCTGGTCAATATTCCAACATTCACACAAATCGAATGATTTGTGTGGCACTTATATATTCAGTGCCTCCTAGTACGAATTTTTATGTGTTTAAATAGTATACAAAAATAAAATAAGATTCTAAGTTATACTATACATCGTTTCTAACCGCTACGGTATATATGTGGACGACTCTAACCTGATAGACTACACCTATTAATATGATCTAATCCAACAATCAACGACTCAATGAACTAACTTTAATCCTGTTATTTAGGAACATTTTATTCATCAGAAGATTGAAATATCCTCAAATTGAATCCTATATAGAATCTTGATCCATAAACCCTATTGTTAACAAGTTGAAAACAATTAAGATGACACAATAATGGTAATATGTAATCAACCATCACCTTTTGAAGGAATTCACTACCAAAATACACTCAACGTAAAAACATAATACCATGAAAATTGAAAGGATCATTGATAATGTCAAAACGAAAAGGGGACTTTATATTACAAACATCAGATATTACATAAACACAATGTGTCATCTGATTTTCATTTGTTTAAATATATATATATATATATATATATATATATACGTGTTATTTATGGGATGTTCATTAGAGTCGTATACAATTAGACAAGTAGAACAAACATTCTGTCAAAATGCCAAATAGATACCATACATATGTATCAATATACATATATTAACCGATATGACAGAAATCAAACGAGAGAACGAAGAATAAATGAATAGTAACTGCCAGGAATTATTTATGGATTATTATTAATATATATATATTCCTATAGGGTAATTATCAAGTAACTAGATTATATACATGTTCGTATTCTTTTTATCATAAAACTTCATTTGACTTATTAGCTAGTGTCATACGATTTACCAATCTTAACTTATTCCTAATCCATTCGTTATAATCTCTCACACTCACAGGAACTTTTGGCTTGATTTTGTATAATAATTATTTTTTATTTCATAATGTGATAGGGTCTGGTCTGTTTGTATATAAACCATGTATATCTGAAATATACGACTCATATAGCGGAGGCTGATATCTGTATTCTGAACTGAACGGGATGGGTTAGGTGAGAAGTGCTTGTTGATACATCGTTGATTTAGCACAAACACAAGGTCATAGAAGCCTCTCATTGGCGTTTTGGTAACACAATATTTAAAAAGATATGGGACATAACAAACAGAATATCATTTGATGTCAAAAATGATGTGGTTTGTTGTGTCATGAATAAACAAATGAATGAATGGTTATGGATAATTTTCATAAGTTGATCAGACACGATTCTATTTGAACGAGTAAGTGGCTTCTTTGTTTAAAGTAAAGGAAATAAGAGTAATGAGAGAATTTGAAATGTATTTTAGATGAGATTACAGTTTTGATTGTTTATTACACATAATTTATAATGCATTTGTGCTGTTAATCTGTTAAAATCGATGTACACAATTCTAACGTTCCTCTCTACAGTAACACACGAATCCAGTTTTAAACTCAACATGATCCCTGACATGTACATATTGGTATATATATACCCTAAATGCCCTGGTACGGCTGAGGATTTTCAGAGCCTCCCTCTCCATATCAGCAGTTCTACCCACAGCATTCTCGCGGCATTATTATTGTTTACGAAACTGAGAAGACAGAAAGTGAATGTCCAGAGCTTAAACAGGGTTCTTGGGTATACAGTACCTACCTAGACGAGTTAAAAAATAAACCCTGATTACAAACTAATGCTAATGGTGCATATGGGCTCTCGTTGTTTGGTACCATTTCAACTGGCAGAAGATTGAAACGACGAGAAAACTTTGAATCAGAATCAAAACAAGACTACTGAACACATTATGGTAGTTTTCTGATCTATTAGCTAAAAAGTAAGTCATGATTAGCCAGTGAGCAAAGATGGGCATATCTGTTTACATGAAATACAAAACTGTCATTTGTCTGTAGGACTGGTTCCATATTTTTTTTCACTTTCATTCCATTTATTGGCCGTTTTATAATGTATCAATAAACTGTCATTTTAGATTCTGTCTGGTTCTTGATTGTTTATCAGATAGCTAACTCAAGTGTATCATGCACGTATGTAAGATCAAGTAAAATGATCCATTGATTCAGTATCCAATCTAGTGAACTAGTATTTAAACTTAATGATTTATCTAGAATCGTATTAAATGTGAAATTGTGAACTGTGAATCTTGTCCCTTATTGTTAGAACATTTCCTTTCAATCATATATAAGTTAATGGTAATTGTTGGGGTGATCCAGAAAACGTCTCACAAAAGACAAGAAAGTTTCAAAAAACAACTAAGAAGCATTCTATCCAATCAGCGCTCACTAGAAGTTGGGAGGGAAACATCAAGAAAGTGAAAAGTGACATGTAGAGTCTCTGATTGGCTGAATAATACACTGCTACCATGTTGAGTAACATTCCAGAATTTTCGGGAAGCCTGAGGATATCTAAAATACTATAAAAATCTGTATTTTCTGTACTAAAACGAACTCTTGGAGTAAAGTGCTTCTCGCATATTTTGTGCCTTTTCTCTCATGTACAGGTCAGTGCTTAGTTCTAGCTTGGGGGTTACGAGAATAGATTAGGAACCAAATAAAGCGTTCAATTAGCAAGACATATCAGTAATGTAATATGTACACTTCATTTTAAATTGACTTAATTCAGGTTATAAATATTAAAGATGATATCTTTCTTGACAGACTAATATTAACTAAACAACTATCATCAACAGTTAGAGTAAACTTAATAGTTACTTTGTTCAAAAGTTATACACAATCCATATCACATATGATCAACTTTAGGTGTTCATTATCAGTTCTTTTTGGATAAGAACACATTTTTTAATATTTACAAGTCACAAGGCTCATTTATTTCTAAAATATTTCTGGAACCCAATTATATTAGATTTTTCAGTAGACATGACAATATCAGGAGTTTATTGAATCTTATCCAGTTCAAATTCATTTAACTATCCTTTCCAATGTGTACTTTCTTTCAAAACAGAATTTTTTATACAAAAAAGAAACCAAATATTGTTAGGTCCCGATAACCATAATGAATAGTAACTTTTGTGATCCATTTATAGACCAATACTAAACGTATATTTTTATTGTATAGTTGTTAAACAACTAAACTATTCATATTCATATTCCCCTTATTATGAGCTTGATTTTGACCTATGAACCATTATTATACGTTTTACCATTCTTGAATTATGCCCTGCCTATTAGTCACTGCGTCCCACATTCACGGCCACTTTTGGCCAAATCTTGTACAAATGTTATTTCCTATTTTGATGGTACTTTGTGGTCTGTTTGATTGGTATATAAACTCAGTATGTTTGAAATACAATGATTCATATTGCAGAGGCCGAGATTGGCGTTCTAGACTTAACTGGTTGGGGCTAGGCGGTAGGTAGGGCCAATCAGAACTCTAGGTTGCACGCACGTGTTTTACGCGTCACTGGTTCAATCGATAATTCGCTGCTCTCTGGTTGGCGGTATTATTACGTTATCCATTAACAGGGCACTCAGGCCACAAGTTATAAAAAATATACAATTAGTATTTAAAATAAAAATCTTACCTTTGGTTTATTAGTTGGATATTTGAATAGTTTAACTTTTCCATAATCATCTCCAGTAGCTAAAATATCAGCAGTTGGACTATGATCACAAGCATTAACATCAGTACCATCTGAATCAGATGGCCAAATTCCAGCTACTTCCCAACCAAGTGTACATGTTTGACTAGCCCATTCTAAATCACGTAGTGTACTAGGTGAGACAACCTTGAAAATTAGAGATAGGAAAATATATCCATAATTATTACATTAAATGAAGAAATTTGTAACGTCAACACCTTATTAATCATTAAATAACATGAAAAAAAGACTTAATAAAAAACCAGACAAATTGGAAAGTGCAATATTAACAAAAACTGAGATCGTGAATGCGCACTGCTGAGGAGTCCCGAAATAGACGAAACGGTCGTCCAGCGCATCAAGGTTTTCCATGGTGGTCTAGCTCAAATTGACTCATGATCTCAATTAATAAAATTACTATAATATCCACAAAACCCCTTCTGATACTAAAAAACAGATCTCTTGGTCTATGAAATCAATTTAGTTACATTATCTCAACACATTAAGAGAAAAAAATATATGTACATGAAAGGGAAGAAAGTTACGGGGTAGTCATATCAAGACGAAATATAAATTGTTTTAGTAAATATTTATTTGTTTTATCGAAATTCACGAACATTAGTCAAGATGGCAGCAAATATATGTGCGCTACGCAAATCATTCGATTTGTGTGAAGGCTGGAATACTCTACGGGTGCCCGAACGGAAGAAGGTGATTTTCTTAGGGGACTACTTCACGGACCTTTCACCTAGAGGTCTATTCCACAAGACAGTGGAACGTTAGAAGATCTACTCTGATGGTAGCCGGTGACCAACAATAGGTTCATACGTCATTTTTTCCCTCAGGATCCTGTAGCCCATGTCAACCATTGGTTTGGAATCAGTGTTTTCAACTCCTCTAGGTGGACCCTCCATATACACCAACCCGGTAAAGGCGCCAAGCATTCGCTTTTCCTCCTCTGAATTTCGTAAACAACAAAAATGCTGTGAGAAGGCAGTGGGTAGGACTTCTCTGGTAGTGGCTGTACACAGGTGGACGAAGTAGTCTAGTTGGAAAGACCAATTTATTATTTAATGCAAAATTAAAGAGTATTTTCGTAAAACAATGATAACCAAACATTAAATACATAATTTGCATATTTCCCTTCAGTTGTCCTTTACATGCTTTATGATTTTTTCAATTCTATTGTTATTATGATTTATTTCTTTTTCCCTTTCTGTTCTCTTCAATTGTGGATTCTCAACCTTCTGCTGAAAGGATATCCACTTCTCATTGGTGTTACATACTATGGTGTATACTACTTATATCTGTCGACACAAGTAGTATGCAATACCAATCGGAAGTGGAAAACCTGGAAACAAAGCTAAGAAGATCGATTTGAAGTGAATATAAGGGAAAATAAAAATGAACTGTGAACTTGAAAAATCATACAGAATGTGAAGGACAAACAATGAAAATTCGCAAATGAAGTATTCAATGTATGGTTCATATATTTCACCAAGATCCTCTGTAATTTTGTGTTGAAATACAATTGATTGTCTCCAATTGAGTGTTTGTTCATTACAATACTTCTTATATCTGTCAATATAAGCAGTATACACTACATACTTATGGTTAGCTAGACTTGAAACAATCAAATTAATCATTCATTTTATACAATAATTTGATTATATAAAATTAGTCTCATTAATCTTAGATCAGGTGAATGATGATTTAAAGCTTTTACTTATACTCATTCATTAGTGTAGTATACTTTGTTAAGAACACTTTTGCGTCAGTAACCAAAAAAAACGTACAAAATCGCTAAATGAATCGTTCTTTTCTTGCAAACTTAAACTGTTTTTTTTAGGAGCTACAGCTTGTTGACTCATTTTCAGTTAATCAGAGTTACAGGGTAGGGGAAGAGGGGAAGAATCTAGAAATAAATGCATTATTACAACAAACTTGAATTCGTTTTTGTATCGGTTGCTTGAATATTCCTATTAATGTTTAGAACTGCAATTGGTCAGTCTCTTATTGACATATGTGTATCCTGTGCGGAATGCCTCGATATATTGCCTTAAGTCACAAGAATTATAAGCAGAGGTGATGAAGCGAATTGCACTGAGTTCGAGTTCCGTAATGAACATCAACTCTAGGATGCAGGCACATCAAGCTGACAAGTAGTAAATAGGACGGAATGCGTGTCCTGGACTCCACTGCTAGCCATAATACATCTCTGTTTATAAGACTTGTATTCGCTAAATCATATGTCTTGAGTCATTATAATTTTTTGTTGTTGAGATTTATGCAATGTTACTTGGCTTTAAGTAACACTAAAACTGTAAACATTGATGATACCATCAAATCGTAAAAATCAAAACAGAACGAGTAAAGCATAACTCAACTTCAACTGACCACTAGTTAACTATACAATTTGCAATAACAAATAAACATTCTTTAATTCATTTCAAAATATAATAATAAATAGAGCAGGTCCCCACTTGTTACTCATAACCGATAGGAATGCATTATGTCGTGACAAAAAAAAACACAAATAAGTCATTTGTATACAACCAGTCAAAAGTATGCTTGAATGAGGGCTTTCACTGGCGCTAAAAAATGACCTTTCATAACATAAAGCCAATCGGAATTTAGATTGTAGGAACAATCTACATTAATTAAATAAACGCTTTAAAGAAGAAAAGAAGCCACTATTCATCATTGCTTACAAATAGCTTGTGAATTAAGGCAATATCGAGGCATACGCACAGTATGCACATATGCCAATAACAGACTGATCAATTGCAGTCTTAAACCTCAATGGGAAGATACAAGCAAAACAATACCAAGTGAAAGAAGTTTAGTGTTAGAATTAGATCGGGGATAAACTCAATGTTGTCAAGCCATCTGAATGTATCATAGTAATTACGGTTATGTTTTCGTTTATTTAGTCACTCGATTGTAGATATTTTGGAATAATTTACATTACGAAATCAGTTAGACGTAAATCGTTTGTTATGTTGTAATTTTTCTTCCATCATAATCGAGTGAGCTCCACTTGACACGTTCATAGCATGATGGAGTGATATTTTCGTCCTAGGAAACTTCACATTATTCATGTAATCCAACAAAATTGACCAAAAAACGAAATGCCCTCTATCATGGATTACGATAATGCGAATAATAAATACTTGCTTCATTTTGTTTGGTTGCCAGGTGCAGGGTCAAGATTGCGAGACAATCACTACCGAAAAAATTCGTTTTAAGATTTTGAACATGAAAAAATCAGCAACAACGTTTTATACTACTTAAAATGTTTTAATCAAGGAGTGGATTTTCATTGCAATAAATGTAACAAAACGTTCAGGTACAAATATACCTTGAAACGACACTCGGAAGTTATCGATAGTGACGAACGTTTTCCCTGTAATCAGTGTATGATAAACGCTCTAGATCAACATCCAAACCAGGAACTAACAAGTTCTGTAAAATGATTTTTTTTACCCTTCCAGAGGGTTAGAGAAGACAGATAACCCAGATCAACAGAAATATTTATTTTAGCCGAAGACTTCAATAGATTAGTTCTATAAAATTTATTAGCCATTTGTAATGTAATGGCTGAAAATTCATCCATTATCGAATACAATGACGTGAAAACTAAAGACAGATTGAATGATATATTTGACTGAATTAAAAAGGAATGTAACATACTACTACTAAGCAGATACACTTACTTGTCTACAATCAAATGCGGTCCAGAACAGTATTTCATAATCTCCTGATACAGAACGTAAAATCGCCCATCTACAGACCAATCAATATGCAGGATAAAACTACTATGACCGCAACATCGTCCAACACGATTATATTTGTAGCCACGTTCTAACACATTATATACATAAATAACATTATCTCGTGAACCAAGAGCTAAATAATTTCCATCTAGAGAGAAAGAAAGAAATAGAGATGATAAAAAAACTTATAGAAGAAGCACAACATACAATGGAAATCGAAGAAAACGAAATTCTGTGGGTAAAATGAACTATTAAAAATGGATAAAAAAAATGAGGCATCGAAAATGAAACAAAGACTATTTTATTGAGATCACGATTCAATTTAAATCAGTTAACCTTTGAAAATCACAAAGCACTGGAAATTGTTTTGCCCTAATGCGGAACTTCTCATCAGTGAGGACTACAGACCTCACAATAGAAGGTCAAATGAGAACCATAGGTTCCAAGTGTCAGCACTTAACTTCTAGATCACTCAGCCAGCATCCAATAGCTTACATATCTAACTTCAGTCAATATGAAATTTTCTGCAATCATCTTTGGTCGGTAACTGCCTGATATTTAATATGGTTGAACTCTGCTGATCACGAATCTACACTAAAGCTCCGGAAATTTACCGCAAAGTTACTCAACAGCGAGCATACGATACTTTTCAGAAGTTGATGAATCTTTTTAAGATTAAGAGGATGAGTTATGTCCCGATAAGCATAATGAATGGTAACTATGGGATCCATTTATGGACCAATACTATGCGTATATTTTTATCGTAAAATTGTTGAATAGGTAAACTATTCATATTCATGTCCCTCTTATTATGAGGCTTATTTTGACCTATGAACTATTATTATACGATTTACATTCTTGAATTATGCCCAGTCTATCAATTACTATCTCACACATTCACAGTCACTCTTGGCTAGATCTTGTACAAATGTTGTTTTCTATTTTATGGTACGTTGTGGTCTGTTCGGTATATAAACCCAGTATGCATGAATAAATTATTCATATCGCAGAGGCTGTGATCAGTGTTCTGGACTTAACTGGCTGTGCTAGGCAGGAAGAAGGACCGATATGTACTCTAGACTGCTCGTTCAGTGTTTATGCGTCATTGGTCCGATCGATAAGTCACTGTTCTCTAATTGGCGGTATCATACGTTATATATAAACAAGGCACACAGGCCACAAGTTATAACAGGATGATTGCGCAATGCTGCTTACTGATCGTGGTTAGACTTGTAAACTATTGAATTACGACATGTTTTAGAGGTTGAGTACTGCCTTACGAAATCGAAGGTTCTGAGTTCGACCTCCCCCCTTTGAAGGATGTACACATGAGGAGTCCGTACTACAACGAAATATCTCCCCAATACATCTTAGTTCACAATGATTATTTTACTCAAGTTGATTCATGATCTCGATAGCATTCAGTAATCCACATAAAATACCTTACTGAAAAATTCATTTTTTATTTTTTCTCAACCTAACCACAAAAGAATGAACTTTAAAAAAACGTCAACAAGTTAAATGTATGAATAGACCAGTCATCAGTAATATACCAATGAAATCATAGTGAAAACAATGTTCACCATCTTCCTACTTACAATGATGTTATTTTCTAATGGATATAAACAAGTTAGGTGGGGTTTTTTTATTTAGAAAAACAAAACATTTAACAAATAAGTATGTATACTTTAGATACCTTTGCCAACTGACAGTTTCTTCCTTATTTTACAGTCTTAAAACCAATGAAACTATATATAAAATTAGTGTATGAATATACTACTATTACTATTACTATCAAATTATAGGTTTGTATAGACAAAAGTACATGATTATTAGTATTTACTTTTTAGTTTGTTTTTTCTTTACTTTATACAATTCATTCACTAAATTTAAAAATGACTAGTCACTGAGTAGCAACTAATATTACATTTCCCTAGTTCTTTAATGCTGATCGAGTCCTATCGATCAAGTTGAATAACACAGGATGAAGTTCTGCAAGGAGCAAAATTACCTATATGACTTTCAGATGAGTGAGAACTATATAGAATCTAAGCCAAGAAGGGTTTTCTATCAGCTACTATGAAATGTTGAAAACACTGCAATACAGTGCACACAATGTATGCAAGTCAATTAGATAAGTGTTTACAACTCAATTGATAGAATTCAATTAACCTTAAGACTAGATAAATATAGCGTAGTTCACAGTAAACCACTGATGTTAGGTCTTTTATTGAAAGACTTTGTATAAACAATTACACGAGAAAATACTGAAACTGATGACAATTTTCAGCAGTTAAAATATGATACAAAATTAACTTGTTCATGAGTGAGCATACCTAGAATCTATTTAGTTAGAACGCAATAGCTTATGTATTCAAAATAATGATCTAAAACATCAGATCGAGTAAATACCAATTACATATAAGATATCAACTTTAAACGTAGAGATGTATGCATAACTAAATCTAATGACACCACTCATAGTATATTTTAATCAAATTTTGCTAGAATATACACTTTAGACAGAAATGACACAAACGACTGATAGAATAAACTTTTGCACTCGTTTATCAGTCAAGATATGTCATGCGCGGGCTCTAATCATCTAGTTTGAACTCACCTCACAAAGGCTCAATTCAATAGTCAATGAGTTTATGAACTAATAGGTGCTATTTTGTTATTTGATTCGGTTTGAGCTACAGTAATTTCTGTTAAAAATGACGTTAGCTTATTATAATACAGATACGTTCTGTGATGGACTCGATAGAAAGACAATAAAAATACAGCACTACAACCATAATCTCTAACAATAGATACCAGATAAAGACATCAGTGTTCATTCTAAACTTGATACTCCAGTCTCCTCTACAAATCACATCGCTGATGCCCACTTTTCAAGTATAACTCAACTTTTGTTTATACAAATCAATCCATTTCACAATATATTATTATAATCAATAGAAGAGATATCTTTATTCTCTTAATATTGTCAATTGTTGTATGCAGTTAATTTAGAGAATAATCAGGGCTTACTATATTCATTTCCCGAATAATGTAATCGAAGTTAACATGTATTAATTCATTCTTATTAAGGTTTGTCAGTGATAGATGCCGATCATTTATTTCTGATTTATAGTATTATCACGCAATAATGGATAGTTTCTATCTTATCAAGAGGTAAGTAAAAACTATCAATATATAGTAAGAGAAAAAACGTCGAAAATCCAGACTAAGGAATAAGAATAAAATTGACCAATGCTAGAGATAAAGACCGGGAAGTGACAAGTATGTACCGGATAAAATTAATGGAAAATAAATCGAATTCAAATGTATACAACGTTTGTATATTTTCAAATTATTCAGGAAAATTCCATGTTTGTTCTTAGAACTGAGAACTGAAAGATATCTGGATAACTATTGATGAATATGATTATTGAAACAATATCTGGCTTCCTAAATCTAACTTCTTATACCAACCCTAATATTTTTTGGGGGAATTTTGATGAAATAAATTATTCATCTGAATTACTAATCGCAACCTGATTATTTTATAAGATTAACTTCATCGTATCAAAGTTATTATAAACATCGGTAAAGGTCTTAGTATCTAGCAAGACTAAAAATTGACGGGATGAAGCAGTTACCCACAGAAGACAATGGAAGATGGTCACGCAATATCATTGGTTGATTAACGTTGGACATTAAAACCTTTGTATGCCGGCTCAGTGGTCTAGAGGTTAAGCGTTCTCGAACAAGACCAAAAGTCCTGGATTCGAGTTCCGCACGCAGGCTGTTGGACACACACTGCCGAGGAGTCCCATACTAGGACAAAACGGCCTTCCATTGCTTCCAGGCTACCAGTGGTGGTCTAATTTAAGTCGATTCATGATCTCAACGAAAGAAAATATGATGTTGAAGAAGACAGTCTGTCAAGTTTCTCGCCGACATAGTAGATACTGCATGTTATGTCAAGTCATTTAGACAGGCAACCACGCAGCAAACTGACTGGTGGAATTCGATCACCATTGATCAAAGAACTAGATAAACTTGACATCTGTCACTACTATGTAATGTTGACAGAAATAGAGTTAACAATTGAACAGCAGGTTTAACAAAGAAGAATGTATAGATAAATACATACGAGAACAAAAGAAAGAAAACAGTAATAACAACGTACCAGGTGAATATGCAACACATTCGATCTGTTCACCAAGTCCATCGGAATGTGCAGCAATTATTTCTTGTTTTAAACAATTGAATACTAACCAACGTCCTGTACTTGTGCCTAATACTACTAATAAATCATGTGAATTCATCATTGATACATTGAAATCTAAATTATTTGTTTCATCAATTATATTATTATCATTAATATTATTATCATTATTATTAACTGGACTCATAGTCCCATTTGTTATTAAAACTGATTGAAGTGGATAGAATGCAGCACAATGTATAGCATCAGTGAATTCTTTTGACCAAATAGCTTGTTTTGATAATGAATCCCATAGAATTACTAAATGATCACGTCCACCAGTTAAAAATTGATGAGCTTGTGGATGTTTAGCAAGACTCCAAAATTCTTCAGAATGACCAAACATTAAAGGACTTATTTCCATACCAGGACCAGCCTTTATTTAAAAGAAAATAGGAAATTTACATCACTAGAGACAACTAGTTGAATTAAATAATTTTGTATGCTGATCCAGTAAAGATTCAACTACGGTTGACCCGACTCCATTATTCTAATGAGAAGACTGAATCGAATAGGAATTTTAGAGCTGACAAAATCGAATAATCGTACACACATCTCAACCTAGGCTTAGTGATCAATTTACTTACTCCAGTGATATGCTTCGTTTGTACACCTCACCAACTGGTGGACTTGAGATATAATGATCTATTCAGTCTTCACAATATTTGACAGGTACTGTTATGCAGCGTGTCATCAACCTTTACCTTTTAGAAAATTCAGCAAATTGAAGTTTATGGATGAAGTAAGAATGTTTCAGGAAGAAATTCATTACTGTATTATAGTTGATGTCATTTCCTGATGAAAACCCTAATGAATCATACATAAACGTTTGATAATGTATGGAAACTGAATTCTTTTCTCATCATAAACCGTTTCACAGCAAAACACTGTTTTCTCATCAGCTAAAATGTACTCCAAAGTCGTTCATACACTTTGATCCCCCTAAGCATTATTCCAACGATCGGTTAAAGTGAAATTACGTTCAAAAATGATAGAAAAGTGCTTGTCATGCGGTACCAAAAACGGTAAAACAGACAATATTCAATGCAACAATAATACTACAGTATATAATACCTGTAGTATCATATTCTTTGTTGTGCCAATAATTAATAATTCTCCAGGACCTTGTGTAATAGTTCTTACAGCACCATATAATTCAGTTAATTCTTCAGTATGACCAGTTGGATTAAGAGCTGCATCAAAGAATACTAAACGACGATCTTTCCCACCACCAGATATAAGATGTCCATTATTTGTTAAACATAATGAAAATATACCGCCTTCATGTACACCTTGACATATTTGATTCACTGTATTTGTACCTAAGTCATAATAATGATTATAATGATGATGATTCGAAAATATTCATCAAAGATTAGAAAGGCAGAAGTATAATTTACTGACGAATCACTCATATGTAAGATAACAACTATTGAAATTTTCTATTAAATTCAATATATGATGACGGAAAACTTGCAACTTATTAACAGCTAAGAAGGAGGAAGTTACTAGGTCGCTTAAAATTTCATAAACGTGACAAAAACTGCACAATTAGGGACGAATTGGAGCAGTGATTGGAACCATCTCTTTTGATATTCAATAAAAGTGCGAAGTCCAACATTTTCCAGTATTTTTTCTGTTCACTTTGTGGGTCAGTGATCCGTATAAGGATGTAATTTTCACTGGGGAATTAATTTTTAATAGCACAAACTGATTCACATACAACTTCTGTGAACACTCCACCGTACCGCATTCCAGCTTGTCGGACGGGAAAACGTAATAGAGAGGACGTCACGAAATGAGACGAAATACCAATAAAAATTATACTCTTACATGCAGTATTCGCTCACTTAAATGAAACGGAAAATTTTAGATCATTTCATTCGAAACTTCATTTCAGTAATCAACATGTGCCTTCTGTGAATGCATTGTTTTAGTGTTTATCAAATTGCCGAATGGAAAAAAAGCCAATAAAATCTAGGATAGAGCTTGCAATGAAATTCTCAGTCAAAATTATACTTTTTCTTATATGCCACATCCAATCACTAAATGAAGGAAAAAAAGCTATATATTGCAGATTTAAGATAACACGCTTTGGATTTTGGCGTGAAATTCATTCATTTGTCTAAATAGCATATTGGTATTTTAGCTGAAGTCGGTTCGTGATGAAAACCCTAAATCTAATTCCTAAGCCTAACCATCAATTGTAAGTCATAAGTTTAATTTCTCACACTGCTTTATAACCCTCAATTAGTCCTAGTTAGTAGGTGGATATTCTCAAGATCACTTTAGTGTCACTCAAAGGTCGTCCATAAATTATGGTTTCATCGAAAACAAATACAATTAAAATGTATATAACATTTTAACATGACTTCGAAAGTGATTTAAAGATGCTTGATATTCAAAATTAAGACAAAAAACATACAACATATCCATATTAAGAATTTTGATCTTGATCCGAACTCAAAATTACAAACTTTAATCATTAATGCATATCTCTTGTATTCGGATTGGCTAAAATGTAGCTTCATTTTCTTAAGATTATTTATGACTTGATGAAGAAAGCTAGTACAACTATACTTTTTCTACTGAAAGTGCCATAATCTGTACGAAAATTAAAATATTTTTGTGAAACTCACATCTTCACAGAATATTCCTCATGTGATCAGTTTAAACGATGTAAATATAATAGGGAAGGCTACTGTCAGTGACCAATGGTTAATATGTTTAGTTAGCATGTGAGAATCATTTACTAATCGATAGTAAAATGGTATTTGGTTTTTAACAAATAGATATTTATTATGTTGGGAGAAAAAACAGACTAATTGTTTGATTTTGATTAGGTCCTGTGTAACTAGGCTGTAATGTAATGATAGGAAGGCAGTTGTATGATACATATCTCTTTCTAGTTCGATAATCGATTAGCTCATTTATATTTGCATGGGGATCAATGTCATTCTATTTACCAACTGATTGGTCAAACAACAGAAAGGGAAAAAAATCATTTGGTAGGCAATAGAGCAGCACGCAAATAAATTAAAAGTATAGTAACTCGTATCACATCGTCCAAAACCATAAAATATTAACATGTTTTAACAGAGCTGCTTTGAAAGCGAAGCATTCTAGGTACATTTTAGAAATACAAAAAAAAACAACGTTAAACGGCCATACCAAAGAATTTAACAAGGAATAACGAACTTTATTTTAATTACCTCGTTTCCATGCAATAATATTCCCAGCAGAATCACCAGTCAGTAGATCACCATTTTCAGCAAATGTTAAACAAAGTATAAATTTCGGTTTATCGATTGGCTGTTTACCATTCTAAAACAGGTAAGAACATTGATTTCTACATAAAAATTGAGATTGACTGAGTAACTATTGAAAAACAATGAGAACTGAAGGTTGTCACTATTTTTTTAGAAAAAAGAGAAGTGCAGCCACGACTGTACACAGTGAATCCATGATGTACAATTAGTGACGAGGGCTATAGGAGAGACTGTAATCTATGGACGGACCTATGTGACCTAACAAAGTGACACTTGAATTTTCGTATAAGATTCATTTATTCATACGGTAGGGGCGTAGATGTACACTGTTGAGAAGTATCATACTAGGAAAGAATGGTTGTTCAGTACTTCTCGACGAGCGATGGATGTCTAATCTAAATCACTTCATGATCTTAATCTAAAAACAAAAGGTATGTCAACAAAACAATACTGTTGTAGATAACAACACAAATAGTGAGTTTTACAAACTTTAATTCATGAATTGTCTTAAGTGTATTGGTATAATGGAGGGAGTGCTTCAGTACAATAAATAATAACCAATATCTGTGTTGGCAAGTGAAAAATGAGAACTATGAACACAAAATATGTAAACTACTACAAACAAAAAAGTTTATATTAAATACGGAAGTGAAAATGATAATTATTATTATTAGTGTCAAGAAATACAGTAACAGGGATAAATACACTAAATATCATAGATCCACTTTCATGTTTAAAACTACGATACAACAATGAAGCCATACATACAAAAATAATTGACGACTGTTTTGTATACTGAATATTAGTAAGTAGTATAGTGCAATATATATAAAGAAATAGCATTAGGAGAAAAATAATGGTGAAAACAGCCAAGCGAATTGAAAAAAAAACAAGATTGATTATATTTCAAATCAATTAGACAATCACTGAGAAAAACTACTTTTCTTTCATTATTTTATTTAATTTGCGACACATTGTTTACCTACATAAACACATATACATATAAAATAGCATAGACGAAATTCATTCATGTAGATTTAAACTGCTACCGTCTAGCTTTTTAAATATTACACAACACGGAAGTAAATAAACAAACAAAAAAGATTGACTTCTGGACACAAGATGTAAACAAATAACTTATATATATATATATATATATATATATATATATATATATATATATATATATATATTCAACAAATATACGTACCCATGAAAAAAAATACTATAAGTAAGGTGAACACCAACAATCAGAAACCCTTAACATTGAATAATCTATAATCATATAAATAATTTATATACACATATATATATAGACTAGTAAAAACACTAACTCATTCTAAGATTTTCAAAGTTAATGAATAGGACAGAAAATATTGGGATACAATATGTAATGGAAGTTAATGTATAACAAATGGGAAGTTGAATGGGTACAATAAGAAAACGATGATTAACGTTGAATGAAATTTAAGGTACTGAGTTTGGAAGAGAATGCAATAGTGAATACCATAGTCTTCCACTATAGAAAGCCAGTTGAGGTGGGAATAAATTAGTGGTAGTTTGTAGTACTAAGATGGTGCATGATGTGTGTTCGAACTTCAGTTCCGTACAAATTATAGGTACGCTTTGTTGATGAGTTAAGCTTGATGAATTTGCAAATTATTATGCATACATGTAGATGAAGTCTAACATTATTTTAATGATGAATATTTAGAAAGAATCAAAGTAAGTAAATATATATTAACATTAAAAATGGAATATCGTTTAGACTGTTCAATATGAAGATTTTTTAGTTTTATTATCATGGAGATCAGTGATGAAGTACAATTTGATGTACATGGAAGATAAGATGAAGCCTAGTTTTGCACCGCTGAGTAGTTTCGTACAAAAAAGAAACGACTGTCTGAAACTCCTTACCATTTATTGGTAATCCTGTCGAATACCTCCAACCACCGAGTACTTTTGATTGTTAATCTCAAACTTAATGTATCAATTAGAGGTGATGATTATCTTGTTATCCAAGAGATTCGAAATTATAGTGGTGGTTTGCATATTTAATTTCGAACTATATATTATTAGTGATCCTGATCGAATTCGGGGAGACGGAACTCGATATTTTAAAGTCAACCGCACAAAGGCCTGTCAATAAATACGCTAAATCAGCAACTAGAATTATTTGGTTATGGCTGTTGTACAATGGCAGTTGGCCTACATATTAATCAATGATAGCCATTGAATTTCTTGGTGCTAGTTTGATCACTAGACTAAGTCACAATTTCTAATCACTAAATGCAGCTCTATAAGTGATATTTTTTGTTATCCAAATATGAAATTATCATGCAGAAACAAAAATGAGATGATGTGTGACAAAATGTGATATGGAGAGGCGACTGAAAATCTTGACATTAGAAGACTTTCATGGATGATTTTTAGACACTGAAAACATAAATGGAAGTTTTAATGCATTAGATTTATTATATTCTTGAGGGAATGCTTTAATGTACTTTGAATTCAGTAAAATATAGATCTCAGACAGTGTATTTATTAAACAGACTATTTAAATTATCACTTCACCCAAATTTCCATATCCATACCACTTATTATTATTACATTGATTGCGTGATAACTTAAAACGAATCCATTACACTATTTGTAACTGACCTTTCTAATTTACAAACCGTACAGTTTTGAAGTTTTTATACAGTGATAAATGCAACAGTTCACTATCTCTTACACACCCACAACAACATTATTCACTTCACTAACGTGGTTTATTTTGACCATTGTAAAATAACACAACAATTATGGACTTAAAGCTGTAAAGCCTGATGATAGAATTTACTTAAAACAATTGTTCTCTCACATATTTTTGTGTTCTGAATATTTTATGAGAAAAGGATCAAGGACAAGTTGGTTTGGATGGAGTTTTTTTCTCTGAAGTGGTTGGTTTTGTCGTGGAGGTTTCATTGTTCTTCTGAACGACATCACCAGCACAAACTTCAAGTGAAGTGTTCTCCACATACGACGCACAGCTTGTCCTATCGACCTCGATCTTGATCGGTTAGTGTTGACCTTTAACTTGTTACTGTTTACTTCAATCTCCGATTGATTCGATTATTGGTCCCATATTGATCCATGATTATTCACAAGAACAATGAGAACTCAGTGACCAAACCATCTAGTTCAGAGAACAAAACTCCACCATAATTATCCACCTGACCTACAAGTTTTCTCCAATATCTCAACAGCAAGTTGACATTATACTGAAATCTTTCAAGATCGTCAATTGATAATAAAAGTCTAGTCACTACAAATTCGCTTAAGTCACAGCCGTCAAATATCTAAAGCCAGATTTATATATCCAAAAAGGAAATAGTGGGAAGCTTTCCTTAATATTTTGACGTCATCATCAGTTGATCACACAATATTCTGGCAACGCTTTCTCATCTTTTAATTACATCATCTCTTCCTGAAAAAATTCAACAATTTATTTTCAACCGAAAGATCCGAACTCATATTATTCTTAATAACTTTTAATTTATGTTCGCTTACTACATTAAATTGGCTGTATGATCTCGTGTTCTGTTTCTGATGATCTAGAATCTTGTATTACATATTATATTAATTGACTACATTGTTTATATTACTTCTTTGCACCAATTCGAACTGAACATTTTATCATACTGCGATATAAATCCACATCCAACTAATTACACAGTTTTAAGTAATGTGAAGTTTAACTTTCAAAATATATAAGTTGATAAGTATCAGTTGAAGAGAATCTAACCCAATAAAGTGGAATCATATCATACTACCTCAATTATATCTTTAAGGTAGCCTGTTTGAATATCTGAGCGACTTGTGCTTACCGTCTAGATATTTCAACAAGTTATTTGTCTTTTTGTTTGTTTCAACAAATCATCATTATGTCTATTGATCACAGAACTTATTCAGGAGCATCTATGATATGTTTACGATCTTTCACCGTACAAGTTAAAAAAGAAGTACAATCAGAGATATTATGGCGCTTGGTAAAATATGTATTGAATAGAATGCACATTATTAAGATGTTAATTCGTGGAACTGCTTACATCTAACTGGAGACCACTCAATATATATCGTCAAGATCGATCAAAAATAAGAAGAGGAAAATTGCTGAAACACTTCAAGCTAAGAATTCTATATTGTACCAAAAATATGATATTGATTAAAGCCATCACCATCAATAATAATAATAATCCTTTAACTTTGCTCTTCTTAAGAGAACCAAAAAGGAACTTTGTTGAAATAACTATTGATTAAAATAAACAAGCATTATTTTCTTATTGTTGCTTTTTAACTTACTTCAAATATTCCCATCTTTTTACTTAGTGTACATCCATCAAATGTCCAAAATGCTAAATGACCTTTACCACCAGTTACAAGGGTTGCATCATCTAATGGATGAAATTCAACAGCTGTTATTGGTTCTGTGGAACACTGAGAAGTTTAAGAAAAAAAGAAAAGAGAAAACAAAATTTCGTTAAAACAATAAATTTTAATAAAAATTCAAAATAATGCATTTTATTTCAATTAAAAGCAATACATACTTGATAATAAATACGTTTTGTTATATCTCAATAAGCGCTGGAAGTGGATAGGACACACATTGAGGAAAGCATCCAACTATGTCACAGGAGAGGAAGACCAAAGAACACATTACGCCGGCAAATGGGGATAAACATGAGTAAAATGAACAAGAATTGGATGGAACTAGAAAAGAAGGCACAGGACAGAGTAGGTTGGAGAATGCTGGTCGGCGGCCCATGCTTCATTAAGAGTAACAAGCGTAAGTAAGTAAGTAATTTCTCAATAAGTAGAAAAATTGTATTTCTGACGATGTTTCGTGACTTAATGTAAGCCACTTCTTCAGAGTAAATAAATAACCGGAATAAAATCAACACAAATTTAAATAATACTAAAAAAACAATGCAAAATATTTTTAGTACAATCAAAATCATAATACGTTTAAATATGTCAATATCAAATTATTCTTTGATAAGGTGAATTCTTATGACCTGCCACTGTGTTGTGGAAGTTAGATCCCCCAGAACTCACTTGGGAAAGGACCTAATTTTATAATTTTATTTAAAACATTTGAATTTTTTTATTTTCTCACCAAAAGCGCTCTTGTCACATTCATGTCGTATTTCCCACTGGGAAATATCTTAAATGCTATTGATTCGTTGCATCTTTTAGTATGCTATTTGGTAACTCTCTCCAAGGACGGTTTTGTACTGTATATACGTTTTGAATTGTGTTTGTTGTTATTGCTCGTTTCTGGCAGTTTGCAGAATATACTTCCCCATTCCAAGCTTGGACTTCTCCCTCTAGTTAGCGGGTCTGGGATGCATCAATAGCTAGCTTACTGATCTTTGGTCACCGAGTCTTGTTTCTCGTTCTCAGATTAAGTGAACTCTTGATAGCTTCAACCCTAACACACTGTATTATATTGTGCCCTTTACATATAGATTAATTTCAGATGTAAAACTTCTTTTTCAAATTTTTTCTGTTATTTATGATCCCATTGTAGAAGATTTCTAGGAAACTATAAAGTCAGTCAGTCATCTACTAGAAAGTGGTTAAAAGTCAATGTCAAGAGTTCACTTGTAAAAAAAAGACATTAGATTTACATAATTGATTTCGGAAAGAAAAAATTATTTTCGCAGTCTTTACTAATGATATTCAATATCTAACTATGAAAACCGAAAAAGAGTTAGAAATTATCATTAACAACAACAAGAATAATAGTAAAAGTATAGTATAGGTGTAGTGAACAGAACACGGGTGGGGACAATCGAATGTATTTAACACAAAATTACAGGACTTGTTAAATTAATCTTACAATCATAAAGTAAATGCTTAATTTGCAAAATGTCCACCAATTGCCTAAAAATAACTCAGACTTCATTGTTCTTGCATTTTCATACAAATTGCATTTTAGTTGCCATTCTTACTGTTCGATCCTCTTGTCTCTCTGCTGCCAGACCTTCTGTTCACGACTAATATCATATAAGTAGCATATACCACATGGGGACAGGCCATTCACAATCAAAAGTGCAACATTCAAATTTAAGAGAGGAACTAAAAGGATGAGAATAAACTCCACTCTCGTTCGAAACTTTAACCATGTACTGAGCAATCAACCAAAATGAGACGGGAATTATTATTTATACTAACGTCATTCATGATGGAGAGTGTATTTGATTCTCTATTATTTTGGTGGCTTACATGAAAAATGCAAAGTTTTCTATGACGAAAATACTAATCCATTATGCTACGGACGTGTCAAGTGTAGCTCACTTGATGGACGAAAAATTACAACATAACAAAAGTCATACTTTCAAGAGAAATTATTCCGAATTATCTAAAATTGAGTAACTAAATAAACGAAAGCATAACCAATAGTTACTGGATGCACTGCTTAAGACGTTTAAAATGAGAAGAATAAATTATTTTCTGCCACCATACAGTAAAAATATTACTATCAAACGTATCAATTGTTCCATTCATTCACTGTAAATTGTATATAAAAAGCGAATCCTAAATACTTAAGCCTAAACGTCCTCAATTCCTGAAATGAACCTCAACACGTTGGCATTAATTTTAAAGAAAAACTAGTTAGATTCTACCTCTAACATTTTCGGGGAAAATTAATTCATCTATTTGCTAAAAAGCATTTTTCTCACTAAAGTTGATGTCAGTTTGTGAAGAAAATCTTAATCCTAACCACCACCCCCTAAATACTTAACTCTAACCAAGACCAATATGTGCTGAATCGCTTCAACATAAAGACTTAAAGAAACGGATAATCTATACTTTTATAGGCCAATTCATAAGTCGTAGATTATTCAATTCATAAGTAGATAAATCAGGCCCCCAAATGCCCTGGTATGGCCAGGAGTGGGGCGCGTCAGCCCTTCCTTTCGAAACGCTCTCATACGGTCACGCGTATACAGACTCTGCCATGAAAGTCCTACTCACTGCCTTCTCGTGGCATTACTGTTGTTTACGAAATTGAGAGGACGAAAAGCGAATGTCCAGCGCCTTAACCGGATCCCAAACCAATGGTGCACATGCGCTCCAGTATCCTGCGGGGACAAATGGCGTATGAACCAATCGTTGGTCACCGGCTACCATGGGACTCCATCTCCTCACGATGCTCCACTGCCTTGTGGGTCAGACCTTTAGATCCAAGGCTCAGGGTGTGGCCCCCTAAGAAAACCACCTGCTTCGGTCTGGGTACCCGGGAAGTATCACAGCCCTCACACAAATCGAATGATTTATGTGGCGCATATCTATTTGGTGCCTCCTTGTACCAATGTTTATGTGTTTAAATAAATAAAATACATCCATTCATTACATTAGATCTGTTTACACTTTGTAATGTCAATAGTTTCACTTTTCATTTACTAAAAGTTACTTTTTATTTGGCTAAAAAGAAGAAATGAAAATTTGTCTCGGTTATTTTAAACTTTTATTCATTACTAGAATATTTCATATCCATTCATTAAAATGTACATTAATTAGAAAAGAAAAGCACAAGAATAACCTAGAAGAATTCAGATGAAAAATGTGGTTGATTTTTAACTAAGTTACTATTACTTTATCATACACTTGGCCTTTGTAAGTAAACAAAGCTAAATCTTGTGGCATTGAAGAAGAAATACACTTTGATAAATGATAAGTTTGAATTATAATATTTTCAATCATTATTATGATATATGTAGGTCACTACTTATGCATATTAATGAGATGATACATGTAGATGAAGTCTAACATTATTTTTATGATGAATATTTAGAAAGAATCAAAGTAAGTATGGAATATCGTTTAGATTGTTCAGTGTTATTATCACATTATAGGGTTGTAGAGATTATTAAGTTTTTGACTGGGATCATAAACTGATTAATGTTAGAGCACCATTGAAAACGTGGAAGTATTGAACGGCCGTTTTATCCTGTTGTGAGATTCTTCAGTAGGGTGCATCTACGATCCCGCTAGCGGGATTCGAACATATGGCCGTCGATATCGTGTGTGAACGACCAATGCAAAGTTTCTTTTAGTTTTAATATCATGGAGATCAGTGACGAAGTACAATATGATGTACTTGAAAGATAAGATGAAGCCTACTTTTGCTATTCAATATGTGCATTGCTCAACTCTAATACAGTAGTTCTATCATTTAATTATTCGCCATAGAACTAAAATATTTAATGTTCGACTATGGTTTAGGTCGTTGGTGCGCACCGCTGAGGAGTTTTGTACAAAAGTGAAACGACTGTTTGAAACTTCTTGATTTTTATTAGTAGTCCAACTGAGACCAATCTATGACGAATTTAATTGTCATATGTTCACGTTGTATGGAACTAAGTGATAAAATTAATTTAAATCAACTTCTTTGTCTAGGATAATTAATAAATATATTGAAACAGACAATCGAAATGATGTTTAAATGAAATCATCAACCGTTAATGTTAGACCAACATCGAAAACCTGGAAGTACTGGAAGGCTATTTTGTTCAAGTATGGGACTCCTCAGCACAGCATATCCATTATCCTGCAAGGAAGACTCGAACCCAGGAATTTCGGTATCGCGCATACGAACGCTTAAACTCTAAACCACTGAGCCGGGACCCAATGGTATTAATTTCTAACTTCAACCAATCCACGAAATTTCGTAACTATTTTCCACTGTTTTCGGTGAGTAACTGCCTCGCACTCAACAAGATTTAGCTCCACTGGTCACTGATTCAAGTTCGATATTAATACCATCGGATGCCGCTTTAGTGGTCTAGATATTAAGCGTTAGCGCTCGAGACCAGAGGCCCTAGATTCGATTTCTGTGTAAGGGGTCGCGAATGCCCATTACTGAGGAGCTTCATGCTAGGACGAAACGGCAGTCCAATTTTTCCAGATTTTCAATGGTGGTCTATCTTAGCCAAATTCACAACTTCAATGATATTACAGATATTACACTAACATTACTATGATAGTTATATATACATATATATCACTTATTTAGAAACTGATTGCTGCTAGTCACAAAACGGTAATGAATAACAGATATAAGTTACTACGAATTATGACGTTTTTCTTAAACCAACAATAAAGGTTCACCGTTGCACTTCAGATATGATCACCTCTATGTTATTTGAGATTAAGGTAATGAATAAACACTACAATGTGTGATATATCAATACAAGAGAAAAATATAAGTGGGATACACTATTATTATTACTAAACGATTAAAGTTATAAGAATTCCTAATTCAAAACAAGTAATAAACAAAATAATCATGAATTCGAGAAGATTAGGATACACATACGCTATTCAGCTAGAATCTTTAATGAAATCGAAAACCGATACGAAAAAGCTTCAATTAAAAACTTTCACTTTCTATCATCTGATTTGATAATACGTTCTAGTATTCTTCTATACATATTTTGATTCAGTTACAATAGTTCGTATTTCTGATAATCACAAATACTAATACTGATATTTCTATGTGTTCGTTAATCATCTTGTTACTGAAATGAAAATCTGCATTGACGTGTGAAACGTCGCAGCATCACAAATCATAAATGAATGGAAAAAAAGGAAACTTTTTATAATTTACGAGATTTTGTGCTGATAAATTGGAATTAAAAACGAAAACAATACAGACTCCGTGTTATACTCACCCCGAGTATTAATTTATTTTGGGGTCGATAATTCATAAATCATATTAAACTAGAATGAACTGCTTTTCAATACAATCAGTATTTTTTACTGGTTATCGATCTACACTAGAGTCAGTTATCTTGGAGACTGATAGGGTTGAAGCTATCAAGAGTTCACTTAAACGGCAAACGAGGACAAGACTCGGTGACCAAAGATCAGTAAGCTAGCTATTTGATGCGTCCCAGACCCGCTAACTAGAGGGAGAAGTCCAAGCTTGGAATGGGGAAGTATATTCTGTAAACTGCCAGAAACGAGCGATAACAACAAACACAATTCAAAACGTATATATACAGTACAAAACCGTCCTTGGAGAGAGTTACCAAATAGCATACTAAAAGATGCAACGGACCAATAGCATTTAAGATATTTCCCAGTGGGAAATACGACATGAAGGTGACAAGAGCGCTTTTGGTGAGAAAATAGAGAAATTCAAATGTTTTAAATAAAATTATAAAATTAGGTCCTTTCCCAAGTGAGTTCTGGGGATCTAACGTCCCCAACAGAGACTACCATGAAATTTAACAGCAGTTTCAATCATTCATCACTTCAATACATAAAATTACTTGGTAATAATTCCCAACAGAATCTTACGAACTGACAACATTTCATACAGAAATTGTTCATACAAAAATGTTTACTTCACAATGAAAATCAAAGAATTGAAAGGTATTATATTTTGCCTACTGTTGTATAAATATAACACGTACTGGTATTTTAGAAAATAAAAACTAATCAATACTAATCTCAATGGATAGTAAAAACAAAAATAATTTCTAATGGTATTGTAAAATGATTAGATGTTGCTAAACGTGTAGCCAGTAAGATGAACTGATGAAGAGAGGGGGTTGTGAGAAAAAGTGAGATACTATATTCATTGCATATATATATATATATATATATATATATATATATATATATAGGGAGAGAGAGAGAGAAACAGACAGATGGAGGGATCGATATGGAGTAATGACTTAATAGTACAGGGATTCAACTCGTAACCAATAGGTCCCGAGTACCAGTTAACTTACTTCGATCTGATTATCCGGGTAGTATCATTAACCCACAGATATAAAGTCGATCTTAAAGTTGAGCACACGAATATGTACTTGATGAGTTACAAATTGATATTAACTGAAGGAAGTATCGAAAAACAGGTAAAACACTAGATAGTTGTTTTATCTTAACAAATGACTTAACAATGCATGTCTATGACACCCTAAAAGATCGACAGGAAAACAATCAAGTTACCCAGCAAACATATTACCTTGAAATTATTGAGTTAGAGGATTGCACTGGCATATATATTTACAATCAATTCATAGAAGAGTACAACATTGTCTTATCTTATAACTGGCGGATATGTGATTCACGCCCAATGTTTGTTATAACTATCAATATCTTTTAAATAAATAAACAACCCTTCATGTAAAATATTAATTTAGATTATAAGTTCAAAGTAAATTTTGCACTAGGCGAGTCCTAAAGTTTAATTATAACATTAATTTTTTTATTTATCGAACTGGATTTTAACTACATTGTATTCATATTCACATCCGTATTCATATTATTATTATTATAAAACAGTTATATTTATTACTATTTAAACACGTAAACATTGGTACACGAGGCACCAAATATATATGCACCACACCTCATCAGTCGGTTTGTGTGTGAGGGTTGGAGTACTGCCCGGGTACCCAGACCGAACCAGATAGTTTCTTTAAGTGACCACTTTCCAGACCTTTCATCTAGTGGTCTGATACATAAGGCAATGGAACAACATTAGGAGATCCAGTCCTATCGCATCCGGTGGCCAACAATAAGTTCATACGTCATTTGTTCCCTCATAATTCTGAAACTCATGTGCACCATTGGTTTGAAATTAGGGTTTTCCTATTTCACTAGGTGAATCCTCCGTACCAACCAACACCATTAAGGCGCCAGACATTACCTTTACGTCTTCTCAATTTCGTTAAACAACACCCTCACCGCGAAAAGGCAGTGAGTAGGACTGCCCTGGTAGTTATGTACACAAACAACCAAATTCCTATGAACATATGTAAACGGCGATGAATGTAAACATGCGATTGTTACACTTGTAGGTACAGTATAGTAGGTCGTAACAAAGCAAAATAAACCAAAATTCATGATATACAGTTAAAAACTAAGTACGTATATATATATGGAAATTAAAGATTTGTAATAACTTGCAACAAGAAATCATACATACTGCATACTGCTAGTAAGTATACTAAAAACTTATTTTTAGTGAATAAGAAATGTTGTGTCAATATACTAAGTTTTAAAGTAAGATTTCCAAATAATCTTCTAGGTTTTAAGACCTCAAGTAGACTGGTGGGTGATGAATCTTATTCACAAATACAAAATAAATTAACTTTATTTTCTTAGACGAGATTTGACTGCTCATCAGAATGGAAGTGTGGACTAAATAGCAGGTCTTTATCTATATGAGCCAAATACATTCTTGATTTACCCCAAAAAATTTAACAATCAGACATTTAGTACGGATAAGGTGTTATAACTTGTGGTTTTGTGCCCTATTAATATATAACGTATTCATACCGCCAATTAGAGAACAGTGATTTATCAACCGCACAAATGACGCATAAAACCGTACGAGCAGTCTAGAGTCCTTATCGGTCCTTCTTCCTGCCTAGCCCTACCTATTAAGTCAAGAACACCAATCTCAGCCTCTGCGATGTGAATCATGTATTTCAAACATACTAGGTTTATATACAAACCAAACACACCACATCGTACCGTAAAATAGGAAATAACATTTGTATAAGATCTAGCCGAGAGTGGCTGTGAATGTGGGATATAGTAATTGATAGACAGGGCATAATTCAAGAATGGTAAAACGTATAATAATAGTTCATAGGTCAAAATAAAGCTCATAATAAGAGAAACATGAATATGAATAGTTTGGTTACTTAACAATTATGCGATAAAAATATACGTATAGTATTAGTCCAAAAATAGATTCCAACAGTTACCAATCATTATTCTCATCGGGATATAACATAAGGGATCAGAATATCCGCGATATGTTCATTGTTTACTAAGTGTGCTGTATACGGAAGTTTTTCTCATTTTTCCGTTCATTCAGTGAGTGAATGCTAGACATCAGAATGTATTTTTCGTTAGAGGTTTCACTTCGAACCGTAATTTTCATTACACCGATGGCTTTTATTCTTCATGTGGAGCTGCGCTACGCTGATGCATTCATTAGAGAAAGTTGTGAATAGCCCTAGTATCTTGAAATGAAATATATAGTGCAAAATATACTCTAATATGCGAAACCCAGATACTAAGTGGACAGATGAATGGCTAGTACTGGAGGATACGACATACACATTGAACACTGAAAATGTTCCAGATAACCTCCGTCGACACACGTAATGAGGAGTATCTGAAGTATATTTATAGACATATATAGCTTGGAAAATATATAATTAATTAGTATCTTACTTTAGTTTCCGTTATTTTGCGACTTTTCTGCCAATCCCATATTGAAATTACATGATCTGTAGCTTCGTCAACTGCACATAATTTAACTCCGCTATCCTATAAAAGTAAATAGTTTGATTAACAATACGATAAATAGATACAAGCCAACAACGATAATACACAAAACGAAACTGAATTAATATATCAATTTTTATTCACTCAATATGTTGCTATTAGAAAACAAAGTAATGGACTGTATCCATGACTGAAGTTATTTGCAACAAACCCAAGGAATGTGATTTCTAGCACTTCTGGCTCTTCTTTAGTTTATAAGTGTTGTGAAATGTGGTGTCCGAACGTTGATATTGATATGTAATTTGCCTATATATGAGACTGACCAGCTACTCGAATGAAAAGACTAAGATAGAGAAAGGAAGTTTATTAACTAAATCAATTCATTTATATGTGTATTCATTGATATAAACCTATATTTGTCTCTAAGAAAATTCAGCCAATAATGATGTATGTCTCGTTCGTTGAAAATGAAAGATATTTCTTTTACTTATCTTTTAGCTGATTTATGATTGTCCCAATCTATCCATATGAATGTTATTTTCATTAAAGATTTCATATTTGACTGTATTAACATTTTTCATACAGGTGTATTGAAACTTTGTTACACTGAACTGTTCACAACAGTTCGAAATGAAATCTTTAGTGAAAATTACCTCTCTCATAAGCAGTATTCATCTATTAAATGAATGGTCGAAAAAAAGCTAGTAATTGCTACATATAACATTATCTAATGAACATTGAAAACAATGAGAATAAGCTCAGATCATATCTGTTCCATAAAGTAACAAAATGATTTATAATTAGATTTCCAACAAGAGCAATTTGTTCAGTCAAGTGATGTTCCAAGTTATGAAAAGTAATAATTGATCAGTAGTCGAGCGAGGATTTTTCTTCTTCGAATGTTCAAGATTGCATTCTATAGAATTCAGTGCATAAGTTAAACATTCAAATTCTTCCATCCATCGAGCAACAGAAGTTTCAACAGACAGATAATGATAGTATTAATATATATATATATATATATATATATATATATATATATATATATATATATATATATATCGATGATAACATCCCACATTTTGATACTAAATAACTTGAATTCGAATGTCATGAGAAGCATCACAACTCCTCAAAGATTATAGGCACACTTTAAGGACAGTTACCAATTAGCAGAAAACCTAACCCAAAGGTTTCAATTGCTTGTCTCTTAACTCCTAATATATATATATATATATATATATATTCTCTCGTAGATAGATAACCATCGAAATTTCGTCAAATTTGAGTCGACTTTTATCACCGAAAATCATCAAAAACCAAGAAGCGATGGAATCACTGGTCTCAAGTCAAAGTTGTCATATTCACATACACATACATTTTAATTAAACGTAGAGAAGATAGAACACAGATTACCATTACCATTCTAATAAGTATCCAAGATAAGTTGCGCCACCAAATTAATAGAGGATGCAGGATATGCAACAACACTTAATTAAAACAATGATGTAACATCAAGGATAAATAAGAACTATTTAAATTCATTTTGTATTGTTTATTTGAATCTTCCCATTGATATTTAGGACTGTAATTGATCAGTCTCTTATTAGCGTATGTGCATCCTTTACGGATTACCTCGATGTTGCCTTACGTCGCAAACATTAAAACAAAGATTGATGGTGGCTAGCAGAGTAATCCAGGACGCGCGTTTAGTCCCATTTGGGACTCGTCATCTAGATGTACCTGCATTTCAGAGCTGATGTTCAATCCGGGACTTGAATCCAATAAGAAGAAACTCGCGTTCTGAATTACACTGCTAGCCACCACCGATCTTTGCTTAAGAATTATTTAGTTTTTCCTAAGAGATGTTAATATTTAAAAAAGAATTCAATCGCATTAATTATAAACCGAACAAAATGAAATTAATTGACCATTACAAAGCATATCACTATCTATAGTTACCACATGAATTATGAAGATTCTACTTGAATAAGTCGATCAAAACTGTAGTGGCTGGTACTATGTCAGGCCAACATAGGCTATTATTCTAGCTTATGGACAGGCTAATATATTCATTCTTCTCAAGCCACTTTTGACTTCGTCAATCATTCACTTACTAACGTTGACTGTTTTTCAAATGATCGTATGTGTGTTAATTGCTTACCCTAGTCATTGTGTATGTAATTTATTTTTGTTTGAATATAAATATTGAGTCACGCTTGATTAAATCCGGTTGGCTCACTAGCCTTTTCCTCTGCACGTCACTTTGTTTCGTTTCGCTTCGCTTCCCTGGTTGTATGTCCGGATCAATGTGTGCGTAGTATACGTATTCAAAATCTATTTTCGTGTTTGGCTTATTTTATTCCGTTATTCTCCAGTACGAATTAAGTCGATAAAAGTATACGAGGATCGGCGGTATGTATATTTCGATTACAATAAGCACACGATTTAACTGAAGTCAGATATAGGGTCACTAAAACTCTTCAGTTTGGTAATTTATTAACCTTTGATAAAACTTAGTAACTAAGTATATGTTCATGTAATCTAGACTAAATTAGACTTCATTTGACACTGTCGGGTTAGATAAATCAAAGTAGTAGAGTCTTAAACCTGAAATTAAGTGACAGCCTCTCTCTACCAAATAATACAACTAACCCATCAAACTCGACATCGACATACGTTCCATGTGTAAGGTCGTCTAGTGATATTATAGGTCAGTCTAAAACAGTTTAAATACAGAGGTGTTCAAACTTATGGTGAATTGCTCAAAAGCGAATGCCTGAACTCTTAATCTATTATCCCATTCTATGTTGGCCAATTGCTAATACTTAAAAAACACGGAGAAATAAGGGTCAACAATTTCATTCATGATGATTATGATGCGACCAAGCCTAAAACCAAACTGATCAGGCAAATATATACGTAACTTTGACGATGTTGAAGTGTGAAGCGAGAAATAAACAGGTAATGACAAATAATTGGAGCTATTTTTAGTGAGCTATCTCACTTAATTCCCTTATATCTTAGTTTGCTTATGATTGTATTTTTCTCATTTTTGCGTGTTTGGTTTCGTTAGTCAACCACTCATTCATGCGCCTTTTGAGTTAGTTTGAACCAGGAATAAATAGTCTAACAGTTCCCGCTCTCTCCCTGACCCTTTCTGTTTGCCAACCTATCAAATCATAGGTCAGTGGCAGGATGGTTCTTTTCTTTCTGTCATCTCAAGGCCTTAGCCTTAGAGTCACAAATCGAACTCACATGCTGCAAGTCTCAAGATCATACTGAGTCATCTATCGCATCGAAGATGTAAACTAGATCGAAACAACTCTCTCTTTCTGACTACATTTTAAAAACAGGCTAATGAGGAAACAGATTCATGACGTAACATTCACATACTTGTAAGTGCTTGTAGAATAAGTGAGCTCACTTCTACATGAATCAAGTAAGCGTCCATAATATTATTCGTAGAACAATCAAAACTTAGCAGTTAAACCATCAAAAACAATACCAAAAAAAGCATCCGTCCAACAATTTCACTTCTCTCTTCCCAATAAATCATTGAAATTACGGTAAACAGCTAATGTCAGTAAATCAAAAGTTCCCATTCTTTCACCATTTAATCCAATATTGAAATTTTAAACAAATTAGAATAATATCAGAAGGGGTTTTGTGGATATTATAATAATTTTAGTAGTTGAGATCACGAGTCAGTTGAAGCTAAACCACCGTGAAAAACCTTGAAGTACTTAATGGCCGTTTCGTCCTATTTTGAGACTCCTCAGAAGTGCGCATCAACGATCTCGCTCCCCGCGCTCGTTCGCAAGACGGGTGGGTCCTGAGTTCGAATCTCGCAGGGGGGCGAGATCGTGGATGCGCACTTCTGAGGAGTCCCAACATAGGACGAAACGGCTGTCCAGCGCTTCCAAGTTTTCCATGGTGGCCTAGCTTCAACTGACCCATGATCTCAACCTTTGAACTTAGGATAACAACGATAGATCATTTGTGTAGTCATAATAACAATAAAAATAACGAAAGAGAAAAAAAACAATAGAAAAAAATAAATTAACTAACCGTTTTGAAAAGGACAAACAACATACTGAACGGTCAAATTCGCCTAAACCAATAATTTTCAGTGTTTTCAAATCGACTGAACTCCAAATTCGTACATGTGGCTAGATTTTTTTGTTTGTAAATGATTTAAGGTAAAAACCGGAAGACAATTTTCTTTATTTTGTTAAAAGAAAAATAACGGATGGTAAAAGGCATAATTAATCATGTTGATGATGATGATGATGATGATGATACTACATTATCATTCCATATCAATATGGTTTTGTAAGTATAGCTTACTGATGGGAACAGTCAAAATAGTGATTTTTTTAGAATGGAGGTTTATGGAGATTGTAATGATTGTAATAGTTGAATTCATGTGTCAATGTAAGCTAGACCACCATTGAAAACCTGGAAGAACTGGACGGACATCTGGTTCTAGTACGGGACTCCTTAGCAGTGCGCACCCACGATCCTTCCTCGCGAGATTCGAACCCAGCACGTTCGGTCTCGCGCGCGAACGCTTAACGCACCACTGAACCGGCATCCAATGGTGTTAATGTCTAGCCTCAACCAATCCACGAAGTTGCGCGACCATCTACGATTGTACTGAGGTAGACACCTGTTTGTATCCGACATGGATTCGTTGATTTAGTAATGTCAATTAAGTTAGTTACAAATCTTTTACTGTTTCATTACGATTTTCCCTTTTTCCAAATGTTGTATATAATCTTTTATTCGAATTGAACTACTTCGATGATATTATACTTAATGTATTCGAGTTACATTTTAAGATGGATTGTTTCAATTCATTAAAAAACGATTTAAGTAGTAACGGTGTGTTTTTGCCTTTGTTAATTATCACATGACAATATCGAAAGCTATGATCTTGTACCTGTGTTAAGCTAATGATGAATCAACCAGAAATGGCAGTCTTGAAATGACTCTGAATACTCACTAGTCCTTCTCTACTAGCCCTTTCTACTGAGTCCAGAATACAATCACAAACTTCACTGTATGAATCGTATATTACAGATATACGTGGATTCTATTTAAACAGACCAGATTGCACCACACCACAAAATGGAAAAAAAAATTATTATACGAAATCAAGCCAAAAACGTGGCTGTGTTTAGGATACTGTTGCTAATAAATTGGGAATAAATTAAGGATGATAAATCGTATAACAATGACCTGTAAGTCAAATGGAAGCTTATGATAAAAGAAATACGGATATATATATATATATATATATATATATATATATATATATATATATATATATATATATATATATATATATATATATATATATATATAGTTACTTAATAATTATACAACAACTATATTTATTTATTTGAACACATAAATATTGGTACGAAAGGGGCACCGAGTACATATGTGCCACACAAATTGCTTGATTTGTGTGTGGGCTGTGATACTGCTCAGGTGCCCAGACTGGAGCATGTGGTTTTCTTAGGAAGCCACACCCGGAGCCTTTAACCAGTAGGTTTGATCCACAAGGCAATCGAGCAGCGTAAGGAGATGCAGCGATTTGGAAGGCTCTTCCGGTGTCCCACATTGTACGAACATTCCATGTACCTAAATAAATGGTCGCTCTGGTTGTCAGAAGGGGCATCGCCCTCGTAACTTCCGAAGGAATTCGGCTTTCATCATGAGGCGTCATAATTCTTCTAAATGAAGACCTTCTGACTCCCAGGGCAGAGTTTAAAAGATTTGAATAATTTTTTCTTTCTTTTTTTTTCTGGTTAGCGTTTTTTTAGCGAGTTAGTTTTCTACGGGATGGGGACGCTAAGCCCATGCCCAACCCTCCTCCTTTATCCGGGCTTGGGACCGGCAGTAGCCCCCGGAGGGACTCCGGGCGGAGTACTGTGGGAGAGAACAAACCAGATCCCAGCGGAGGAAGAAATCAGGAAGAAGCGATGGAAGTGGATAGGACACACATTGAGGAAAGCACCCAACTGCGTCACAAGACAAGCCCTCACATGGAATCCTTAAGGCCAAAGGAAAAGAGGAAGACCAAAGAACACATTACGCCGGCAAATGGAGATAGACATGAGAAAAATGAACAAGAATTGGATGGAATTAGAAAAGAAGGCCCAGGACAGAGTGGGTTGGAGAATGCTGGTCAGCGGCCTATGCTCCATTGGGAGTAACAGGCGTAAGTAAGTAAGTAAGTAAGTAAGTAAGGAGATGCAGTCCCATAGTATCCGATGACCAATAATTGGTTCATACGCCATTTGTACCCTCAGGATCCTGGAGCCCATGTACACCACTGGTTTGGAATCAGGGTTTTCCAACTTCCTTAGGTGAACCCATCAAATCCACTAACCCGGTTAAAACGCCAAACATTCGCTTTTCATCCTCCCAATTTCGTTAACAACATTACTGCCAATAACTATATACATATAATAAAAATCTAAAAATAATTCCTTAAAGTTACCCATAGCTTAATCTTCTTCAGATATAACGATAACAATATAGTTCATTCATTTTAATTTGATATAATTTGATTCTAATCAGTTCTAGTTTTAATTTGGTTATGTATTCTAATCTAACTGTTTGCTTTGTACGTTGATAGGTGTTTTTATCAGTCATTTTAAACTACTTGAAATTTTCATTGGATATTTGAAGAATTTCCTAACAAGGAGTAAGTCACATTATTTGAAGATGTTCATTTTATCACTATTATAATTACATTTTAATTTACAGTACCAATTTTTTCAGTAGCTTATGATATATATATAAGATTTCAATAAGAATAACTATCAGACTGTTAACATACTCGAATTAATGGGGCATCTGTGCTCTACTTATCATATATAGGATCGATAATGTTGAACGTATTAAAGAATTTCAATTTTAACGTAAGACTTAAGTTCATATTATCAACAAACACAATTGGATTTCAATTAAATGTATTTCATGTGTAAATGTATAATCATTTGTAATCTTATGAATGTGTTCTGTAGAGATTTTTCAACGCATCATTAGTTGTTAATCTCATACATTCCTGTTAGCTAGATAAATATTGAAGATCAAGGAAGCATAGGATACTTGTTTTTTGCTACTATGAGACCCCCCGAAATAATCATTATACATAACCGCATCACAAAAATCGAACTGAATCATAGAATTCTAATTCAATGGTCTAAAAGTAATTCGTTCAACACAAGATTTAAGAATGTTGAGTTCAATCTCAGGGAATAAGGTCTCTGATATTTACACCACTAAAACGTTCCACACATTGTTATGAAACAACAGACAAGTAGTCACTATTGTATCTTAATGGTTATATAGACTAAACTCTATCCGCGATGTAAAACATTTTCCTTAATAGATCTATTTCATTTCAACTACACTGATGACTTCTCGTATATCTTCTATTGTGTCAATAAACAGTAGATTGACGAATTCATTACTATTATATGAATGAATGAACATTTTAACATATATTTCTTTCTAATTCACTTCTATTTTAATATATAAATTCCTTGTCAATAATCAATTAAGAGATATAAGAGAGAGAACATTATGTTGTATTAATTTCACGACCCACATAATAAAAAAATAGTTACATTGTTTTCTCATCCATTTTAATCCGTTTCATGAGTGATATCATTAAAAAGTATCATTCATTAAAAATAAACCGCATACAACATTGTACTACAGTTGATTACCATTGAAAATAATTGAACAATAACCATATGTTGATATTTATGTAAACACATAAACATCAGTACAACGAGTCAATAAATATACGTGTGTCACATTTCATTATTCGATTTGTGTGTAAAGACAAAGATACTGTTCGGGTGTCCAAACTGAATCAGATGGTTTGCATAGGAGACCAACCACCACTCCTCCGACCATTCATCTAGAGGTCTAATTCATAAGGCAATGCAGCGACGTTTGGAGGTCCAGTTCCATGGTAGTCGGTGACCAACAATAGGTTCACATGTCATTTGTTCCCTCAGGATCCTGGAATTCATGTGCATCATTGATTTGGAATCAGGATTTTCCAACTCGTCTAGGTGGATCCTCCATATCCACTAACTTTGTTAAGGCATCGGACATTCGCTTTTCGTCCTCTCAATTTCGTAAACGAAAGTAATGTCGCGAGAAGGCAGTGAATAGGACTTCTGTGGTAGTGGCTGTATAGACGTAGCCTTATGAGAGCATTTCGAGAGGGATGAGCGGACTCACAAAGGAAACTAGAAATAGGTGGACTATGATATAGGCATAAGACGAAAAAATCTATAACTATTGGTTTGAATTGTTTTGGTAGATAAAGACTATCTGATTAAGATTCACATACGATAATAATTACTGATTATAGAGATGTTGAGTGACATGGTCCAAAATCAGCCGGAGTGGTGAAGATGAACTTATTCATTTACTTTATGGTCCCGGATCTTGTGTTTCTAAAAACTATTTTATGTATTTTGTTCCACGGTTTCATTATCCCTCGAACCAAATAGAATGCCTACTAATATCCTTATACTACGATTGGTACTAATCTTACTACTCCTGCCATCTTGATATTCATTTTTTATCCCATCTTACAGTGATATGATATGATAACTTGGTCTGATATGCATCTATACCAGGTTCTACGTTGCTTATGATTGACTAATAGACTGATTATGTCATATCACAGACTGAGTGTAATGAGACTATAATATTCCAACTCAATGGTCTAAAGGCATAATGTTCTCAGCAAAGCATCAATGTTTCGGGTCTAACTTAATGAATAGATGTGTAGTATTGTGAAGTCCACAACTAGGGGAAAAAAGTTGACTTAGTTTCAGTAGTTCGTTACTGGTCACAACAATTCAAAGTAACGAAAAAACATCTCAATTACCGATTAGATGAAACTTAAGGACCAACAGTAAACAAAGAAATTGACGAAAGACGAGAACTATGGAGGAGGATAAATTATTTAGATAACATTAAACAAAAATCATCAGTTATGGAGTAAGTAACAGGACCATTAAAATTTAACGGAAGAGAAACCATCATAATATAGAGACGGTCATGATCGAATCTAAGAGATAGAATTTAATTGGTAAGTTTTATGTCACAGATTAATCTCAGTTGGGGGTATCAATGAAAACCAGAGAACACTGAACAGATAAGACTTCTTGGCATTATCCACATCGCCGATAGGAGTCAAACGTAAGATCTTCAGATGTTGCAAAGAACACTTAACCATTAAAACCATAGGGTCAGCGTCCATCACTTCAGGATATGTCACGATGTTTATTTATTAAGTTCCATTGATGACTACTGCTTCACTTATGACATGTCTGAACCCTATGAATCATGAATACCAATCAAAACTTTATATACGTTTTGAAATCTTATATTCTCAGCATATTAAAAACATCAAATGATTACCGACAACACAATGTGACATAATTTTTGATTTCTACATTATCTATCTTTTCCTAATTATCTTCTGCACTTGTCAATATAAAATTATTTGACTAAAGAGGTGATTGCAAATACGCTATGTCGTTTGCTAATCGAATTATTTAACTGAGATTCATACACTGAATAGATGTTTGGGTTTTCATAGTCAAATACTCGTATCTTGCAATTAATAACCTGTTAGAGAAGAGATACAACATGTTGCTAGGCAACTATAAATAATATATCAGTAACGATGACGATATCCAAAATATAGTTTAAGAAACTCTTTTCTTTAAAAAAAAATTCAAAATTTCGGCCAAATACCATTTCATGTTGAATTTACAGTTTTCAGAATTTTTCACCATTTCGGTGAACAATTAACTGTACAGTCAGATATGACAGATCAGTCAGATGTGAGGATAATCATCCTGTTTCAGTATTTTCTAAAGTTGTGATATCTAGAATTTTCAAGTATTCTTCTGTTCATTGGAAAGGCAAAAGTATAATTTACTGACGAATCACTCATATGTAAGATAACAACTATTGAAATTTTCTACTAAATTCAATATATGATGACGGAAAACTTGCAACTTATTAACAGCTAAGAAGGCGGAAGTTACTAGGTCGCTTAAAATTTCATAAACGTGACAAAAACTACACAATTAGGGACGAATTGGAGCAGTGATTGGAACCATCTCTTTTGATATTCAATAAAAGTGCGAAGTCCAACATTTTCCAATATTTTTCCTGTTCACTTTGTGGGTCAGTGATACGTATAAGGACGTAATTTTCACTGGGGAATCGGAGTTAAACAGATTCCACAGATTACCGTATTTTACGAGGTATGTATGTCATGTAGTTATTTGTATTAAAAAAGAGCAGAAATAATTCAGTTGATTAAGGATAAAAACGAAGTGTGCTTCGTATACACATATATATCAATCCAAGTTCTTCCAGATGGAAATCAGAGTAATCGTAGTGAAATCAGTATCTCCAGTATTATGTAAAAAAAAAGAATAGAGTGCAAAAGAACTCATAAGACTGAGAAATATGAAATCATTGTTGTTTTCTGAGGTCCGATTCGACTATAACACGTAGGCTGAGATATTAAGTAGGTACATCATTGACTTTTTTCAATAGTTTGTCCCGTCTGTAATTTCACAACTAACGTTTGAGCTCCGCGATGCACAGTGCAACACAACAATCAATGACCTTAAGAACTTATTTCATGTCAATGATCGTAGGTTGTACCTCCGATGTTACTCACCATCTCATAAAATGGGAAAAAGGTATTCTAGACATTTTATCCTATGATTATTTAGTGAATACGCTGTACTATTATATGAAACTCTACATATCTGACTTTATCGGCATTACACATTCTCCGTAATAGTATCACATAATTACAAACTGACAGAAGAAAAAAACACCACTCACTTTTCCAAACTGTTTATCATGTCCTGCAGACTGACCAGTAGCCACAGTAATACGATCAGGATGGATAGCAATGCTATATTCAAAGTAAAAATACAAGACGGAAATTGTATTTACTCCTTTTTTGCTTACAACAAGTAACAATAAGTAAACAGAGTGACTGTTCTGTTTATAGATTTTTCCCGCTTAAAACTATATTTTGGCAACAAGCCAAGTCACAAAAACTCAGTCAGAAAGAAATGGAAGCTAAAAACTAGCTTCAAAGAAAAAACTATCCAGAAAAGAGGGAAATCATTTTTTCTACAACTTTAAACTAATCTATACATACTCAATCAATAAAACATACTAGTAATGTGGAATTTCCTGCATGCAACAACACACTAGAAACTATGCTACGTTACGTAAAAATAATTTATTATCAAAAAATAATAATAATGATGATAGTAATAAAATGCCATGGTACGGTAGGTGGTAGGGAGAGTCAGCTCTCTCGCTCGAAATGCTCTCATATGGCTGCGTCTATACACTGCCTTCTCGCGACATTACTTTCGTTTACGAAATTGAGAGAATGAAAAGCGAATGTCCGATGCCTTAACAAAGTTAGTGGATATGGAGGATCCACCTAGACGAGTTGGAAAATCCTGATTCCAAATCAATGATGCACATGAATTCCAGGATCCTGAGGGAACAAATGACATGTGAACCTATTGTTGGTCACCGACTACCATGGAACTGGACCTCCAAACGTCGCTGCATTGCCTTATGAATTAGACCTCTAGATGAATGGTCGGAGGAGTGGTGGTTGGTCTCCTATGCAAACCATCTGATTCAATTTGGACACCCGAACAGTATCTTTGTCTTTACACACAAATCGAATAATGAAATGTGACACACGTATATTTGTTGACTCGTTGTACTGATGTTTATGTGTTTAAATAATTAAATAATAATCGATTTTCTTAACCAAACAGGACGGAACAACAGATGATCAATGATGAGCCTATAATATATATAATGAACACATAATTAGTTATTCAAAAACGGAGTCATAGGGCAAATGTTTTCATACTCATTCGATCAATAGGATATTTTTTGTACAACTGTTAAGTATATCTTTTACAGCTTTTATACAATAAATCGTAACACAGTAGAATCTTGGATAAGTTGTTCAAATTACTTGTATTATTCATGAATATTAATTTTTTTATTATCTTAACAAATTCTGAAAAGTAACCGGAGACCCTAAAGCATCCTATCAGTCAATCCAGTAACTTATTGAGGAATAAATAGTTCAGTAACTCGATTTCCCTCCTGATATCACTATTCCATGGGATCCATTTTCATTCAATGAAGTCACCTTGACAAGTTTAATCAATTTATAATATCAGTTTATTTTCGATAAAGTTGTTTGATTATCTGAAAATGTTTCATACAAGTTAGTAATTTACAACAAGAAATATATGGAATCTTAAAAGAAATAATACTTTTCATGAGTTTTGAATTCGTGTTACTTAGTCCCATTGTAAGACTAACAACTATTGAGCTAACTAATCCCATCTATCAGTAGACCTAAATCTACGGTTTCATTCTGATTGTTACCAGACATTTAACATCAAAAAATAGTATATGCATTATCGTAGTCATATAACAGGGGGTGGAAAATTGGAGAACTGCGAAAGCCATCATCCAGAAGATACAGGTGTTTATTAATAGTTATCTACGCAAAATACTACGGATCTGTTGACCTGACACGATCAGCAACAACCTACTGTTGGAGGGAACAAACCAGATCCCAGCAGAGGAAGAAATCAGGAAGAAGCGATGGAAGTGGATAATACACGCATTAAGGAAATCACCTAACTGCGCCACAAGACAAGCCCTCACATGCAATCCTCAAGGTCAAAACAAGAGAGGAAGACCAAAGAACACATTACGCCGGGAAATGGAGATAGACATGAGAAAAATGAACAAGAATTGGATGAAACTAGAAAAGAAGGCACAGGACAGAGTGGGTTGGAGAATGCTGGTCAGTGGCCTATGCTTCATTAGGAGTAACAGGCGTAAGTAAGTAAGTCAGATAACAGATTGGTTGTTGGAACTCGATTAGCACTAAGAACTAGATCAACATGGTATTCACCACTTTCTCAATGATCAATCAATACAAAGTCGAATATCCTAGGTACAACTATTTCGAATGACATTAATAAAAAAGATAATATAGCAGAACATGATTATTATGAAATTCCTTGTATATTTAGCGAAATAAACAAATATTTAAAATTTCACTGATTGAAATCGTGAGTCAATTGAAGCTAGACCACCATGGAAAACCTGAAAGCACTGGATGGCCCTTTCGTCCTAGTATGGGACTCCTCATCATATGCTCACTAGTAACCGACTTCAAGGGATACTCTTGGAGTTCAAGTGGGAAACCGATACCAGTCGAGTTCAACCAGGTCTGTTGTGAGATATCAACTCACTGAAGACAATGGTGTACGCTGGAGCGACTTCATGGATTGGTTGAAGTTAGACATTAACACCATTGGATTACGGCTCAGTGGTCTAGTTAGTTAGGCGCTTGGCGCGAGACTGGTAGTTCCTAGGCTCGAACCTCGCGGGGTGCGGGATCGTGGATATGCACTGCTCAGGAGTCCAAAGATCGGACGAAACGGCCGTCCAGTGCTCCGAGGTTTTCCAGGGTGTTCTAGCTTCAATTGGCCCATAATTTCAATCAGTGAAATTTCTAAAATCTCCACAAAACACCTGGAAATATTTAAAATTTATGAGAAATCAAACAAACAAAAAAATTGGCAAAAATCCAAACTATTAATACTAAAAATCGATCAACTGAACATTGGAGTACAATAGACATTGATTATTTAACAAAATTCATGTAACTGATCTCATATTTATATGTATACATACTTAATGTATAGCGGTTAACTGACTGATTACACATATAGTTCCTTCATTATTAAGTATTTAAATTACACCTATATTGTATTATGAACAATAAACAGGCAATATCTGTATAGTTCAATGCTACATAAAAATGTATAAATTCTAAGAAAGTTATCTGAAATATCTCTCTTACTGTAATAAAACAAACAAGTTTATATTTACACATGTATTATCTATGTAAATGACAAGGTATATTAAAAGTAGAAATCAAATCATACTACTGAAATAAGAATATATAACAAGAAACGTGAACACATATACGCATAAACATGCATAGAATGAACAATACAAATATGTCCAATAATCAAACGGTTTTGTTATTCTACTAAAACCGAGGATAAATTTTCGTAACCGCCCTTATTTTTTGATAGAAGATATTTATTTAAAATTGCACTTTTTCTTCATATAACCATCATACATTTCATACCCCTTTGTATTTGCTCCAAAATGAAAAACGGTTTAAGAGCAAAATATATGTAAATAAATTGATGAATAAAGATATCAACGATAATCCATTGAACAACAATATGTTTACAAAGGTTTTTTAACCTTATTGTTGTTTTTTTTTTGTGACATGAGTTGTGTATTGTTTAGTCTAAAGTTCACTATTGTTAACTTGTCAATGCTTATACTTAAACAAAAGAATATTTACATTGATGTATTAGTGAGAAGTAACTAACATGCTGTTTACCTAGTCCAATTCTATTTGTAATGTGATCATCTATCTAAATGTTTGAAGATTCCATATACTATGTTTTGATAATTGGCAATTGGAAATAATCGACAGGAAATCCTGTTCGACCTAGGTTTTGTGGTATTTTGCACTCGTCACCGATGGGTACTCAGAATCTTAAGAGGGCTGTTTTTTTATGGGTTCAATGAGTGACAAATACCATGAAACATATATTCAGTTTCCTGTCAATTAGCTCCGAACATAACATCAAAAGAATATTGATTCAAAAATAATGTTTCATTAACTTGAGGTGGTTTGTAGTAATTTTCATCATATTTTGTTCTCTAAGCTGGATGGTTTCAATTGTAAATCGTTCATTGCCACTCTACATGAACATTATCCAAATATGCTTTTCGGAGTTGTCAAAATAGCCTGTTCTAATTATCTGCAAATGTTCTATTTGTCTTTTTGAACTTCCATGAATTATTTTTTTGTCAAAATGATCATGTGATAAACTGACCTTGTTCTCGTAAGTTGGAACTACGTCAATATGTTTATTGATTACGTAAGGACTTGAATGAGACCTTGTTAAGAACAGTCTTTGATCTACAGTTTAGATGATTTACAGTCAAAGTCACCCTGATAGTCTATGTTAGTATAGCTTGACTAGTACAATTTATTTTAGAAATACTGTTGGATAACACTATTCAGTGTACTAGCTGTTAAAATCTTCAACATCCAAGTAATGATATGCGACACAGTATTCACGAATGAGGTTTTTTAAGGATGATTTTAAGATAGTAGGTTGATAAATATTGATGAATTTGCAAGGAAGACTATTCTTTCAGTAAACATGTTGGGGATGCTAAATCCCCAGAAATCAACTGGTAAACGTCTTATTTTTGTAATTTTATTTTAGAAATTTGAGCTTCTCATTTTTGAGCCAAAAGTGTCCGTTTTTACTTTCAGATTGAATTTCCCACTCGGAAGGACCCTAAATGTCATTCGTTCGTTTCCTCTTTGAATACGCTATTTTATGACGTTTCCTAAGGACAATTTTATACTATATATGCGCTCGAGTAGTATGCTTGGTTCGTTCGAGCTTTGGCTGCTTGTGCAATATACCTTCCCCTCATCTGAATCTGGTATTCTCCCTCTAGTTAGCAGGAATGAGGCGAATTTGAATACTTTAGTTTGTCCTGTTGTTTTGTCACAGACCTTCGTTCCATTCGCCAGTTTAGGTGATAACGTAACCACTTCAAATATAGTAAAACTGAAACTGATTAACATTTATTTTTATGATGATAATTGGGGTGATGCATGAGATTATGTTTCGCTTTAGAGTTTACACACAGATCATTTCATGTGATTTTACTTTGCAACTGTTGTAATGTAATTTTCGATCACAGTAGCCTAACCATCTGTATACATCTGTTTTCAAA